ATAGAGTTTTTTGGGTTTTTTTTTTTTTTGGCTTATTGAAGGCAGGAGGAGGGAGCAGAAGCATGGAGGCTGATGGCGTGTTCAGGGGATGGAGACGAGCCCAGTGTGTCCAGGCCGCAAGGGAGGGGGGCGTGTTTGTGGTTGGGAGGTGAGACAGAGATGAGGAAGCTTGGGAGGAAGCCTGCGGTCAGGGTGGAAGGTCTTTGTAGAGCGTGCTCTTCCAGGAGGCGCTCCTGAGAACCTGGGTAGGTGAGGTTCTGTGGGGTCCAGAGAATCGCGGCTTAGGCAGCCATCTGAAAGGATTGGTACTGCCCTGGTTATTATTAGGGCGAGCTCAGCTTGGGAGAGGAACTGGGAAACCCTGAAGAACCAAGGTGCTCCGCGTTGTCTTTTGCCATCTCATTTCCACCTGCTGCGTCTCTTTCCCTGGCTCTCAGCTTCCCTGTGCTGGCCTGCCCCACTCCCCTCTCATTCCTGTTTGGCCGATTTTCTCATGTCCTCTAGTGTGGGGATTTTTAACCTTTGTTCTAGGCATTCCATGTAGCTAGTTGGGACGATGTGGAGGGTGTACATGGAGAACTGAATGGGGAAACCAGGAAATACTCTAGACTTGGCAGCCGTACCCTTTTTTAGCCAGAGCACCCCACATTGTTCTGTTTTACTCATTGACGTCTGGGTAAGTTCTACTTCAAGAATGTGTTCCTTGGAATACAACTAGAGTTTGGAAACTTCAGCTCTAGTTTAAATCTTGGAGGGAGCCATTTTGTTTGGCTTAGCCAATTACTGTTGCTTAAAGTGGGGAGATTCGTGTGCTCCTGGTCTCCATGTTGAATCGCCCGTGGGCATGGGCAGGGTCCACTGTAGGTCAAGGGCTCTTCCAGTCAGGTGCTCCCCATGCAAGGAAAACAGGCAGGGGGGGTGGGGGTTCAACCCTGCTTGGACGGGGGGTGGTGAGGTGTGGGGGAGAAGTTTTAAATCAAAGGGGATGTTGGACATGGCAGACAATGTGACTCATGGGTCCAGGCAAAATGCTGTGTTTAAAGTGTGGCTTTTAGCCCCTCGTTCAGCATCTTGTGGAGTTTTTCTAGAGCATGCTGTTATCCCATGAGAGGTTCAGCAAGGCAAAATTTCCATTTTTAACAAGACTTTAAAATACTGCATACTCTCTCACCTTCTTGGAGAACGTCACACATATACGTGTATTAAAACCTGTGAGAACTTGTAAGGGGGTAAGTTTAGTTCAAATAAAAGGAAATACTTTTTTAAACATACACACATGGGATTAAATTAAATGTCTGGAAATTGATTACCCTAGAAGTGAAAGTATAAATAGTTTTTTTATAAAAGACTTAGATAAATTTCGTGTAATACATGGTTCTCAAGTTGTGGGTGGGAACTCCTGCCGCATTAATGAGGAACTTCCCTACTTTTTCTGGAAAAAAAAAAAAGGTTTCATTTCTATTAGTGCCCTTGTACATTCATTTGTTCTCCAAATATTTATTAAGTACCCATGGAGCCAGGCCAAACACTTGATTATGTGTTTGCAGTGTAAAAACTCTTACCTATTTATTGGGACACTTTTTCTGGACTATGCAATTTTCAGTGCTCATTTTTAGAATACTGTGTTTCTGACTAAAAGAAAAAAAGATGGTAACACAGTTGAACATTTTTAACCCCTGGTAAACATGTCTAAACATATCAGGTTCTTGGTTATCTCCTGGATCCAAAGTTCTTTCCCCTCCATCATGCTTCTGCTCAGTTTTCATTTGTTTGTTTGTTTGTTTTTGTTTTGCTTTCAGGCTACAATGGCAGTGTTGACTCTTTTAAGGAGGGCGCAGCTCACAGTGGCCCATGCGGAGATGGAACCGGAAACCTTGGTGTTTCCAGCAATGACGCTCTAACCAACTGAGCTAACTGGTCACCTCTCTGCTCAGTTTTCTAAACGTTGAAATGTACCAGGCTCTGGTGGGCCTGAAGGGATTGTGTCTAGTGCTTCTCCCACCAAGCAGGGTGGAAATCTGTGGGAATCAGGCATGCTCAAGAATTAGCACCAAGTTCAGGGTACATAAAAGGATACTAACTGAAAGGTTCTATTCCGTGGTATTTAAAGATAAACATTACCAAATATATTTTCTTTTAAGTTGGAAAGTTTACAGGACCTCAAAGCCCTCTTTTGGCTCATCACATATTCCCCCTCCACCAAATTATATGGTAGCTTATTCCACTTTTCAATTTCTAAATAAATTGGTCTTCATTATTCCTGAATTCCTGACAGACATCTTGCCTGAGAATTAATGCTTCCCATTCTGCCACGTTGAGCCTATGCAACAAATTACTTGGTGTCATTGCCACTGGATTCATGTGTTGACTTTAGCACGCTTATGTGAACGTGTTTTCATTTTTTTATTAGGGCTCATTTATTTTTTCATTAATAATTACAACTTTACATGGGTATCATTTGTGGTTTTCACAGGACCCACCTCAGGGAGCCGGCATGGGGGATTAATGCCAATAAAGCAGTTAAAACTGTACCTAGCACATAGTAAGGCTCAAATGCTATTTTTATCCTTATGTATGAGCTTTGTGATGGTGAGAGGAGGTAATCAAGGTGGGCACCATTCCCCATTTTACCAATGAGACTGATGCTCAGAAGTTTGATTGTCTGGAATTCCTGACAGTGTCAGGACGACAGCCAAGCCTTCATATCTTAGTCCTGTTTTCTTGCCTGCCCTCATAACTGACATTTTGGGGTTTTGTAAAAAATGTTTTTTGTTTGTTTTTCAACTACTGTTGACATTCAATATTATTTTAGTTGCAATTGTACAGCATAGTGGTTAGACATTAAGGATTTAGTATTTCAACATAGGAATTTGGGGGTGGTGGTGCAAACATTCATGCCGTAGCATTTAGTCAAGTTAGCACATGTGAAAATGCTTAGTACAATACTGGGCATATAGTAGGCACTCCATTAGAATGGTTCTTTTCTTTCCATGCAGTTAACAGCTGTTAGGACTCTCACTTCTCTCCCTCCCCTTTCTCCCTGCTGATGTCCCAGCTGAGCCCTTCATCCCCAGACTACTCAGGAGACTTCAGCCTTCAACAGTTGGTTGTCTTAGCTCAGGCCGCCGTAACAAAGTATCACAGACCGAGTGGCTTAAACAACAGAAATTTACTTTCTTAGAGTTCTGGAGGCTAAAAATCTGAGATCAAGGTATCAGCAGTGTTGGTCCCCCCCCCCACCCCCAGGCCTTTCTCCTTGGCTTGTAGATGGCCGCCTTCTCCCTGTGTCTTCACATGGTCTTCCCTTGGGGCATGTCTGTGTCCTGTGCTCTTCAGATAAAGGCTGTAGTCATATTGGACTAGGGCCCACTCCAATGACCTCATTTTAATTTAATTGCCTTTTAAAAGACCCTATCTTCAAATACAGTCACATTCTGTAGTACCGGGGGTTTGAGCCTCAACATATGAATTTTAGGGGAACACAGTTCAGCTTGTAACCGTGTCTCACAAGGAAGAGCAGCTTAGCCTCAGAGCTCCCGCCCAGTATGTTCCCAACTCATAATCACAACCCTTGGGATATCAAAACCCATTAACTTCCATTCAGCGCACTCTGTTCAGAAAACAGGCGAGACTATGACCTAGTTCCTTCCTTAGGGAGGGGGAGAGAGGAGGCTGGTGCTCAATGGACATTCTGTCCCCAAATCTCCCGTTGCCAAGGATAGGGTAGGCATAACTGCCTCCATCGTACAGAGAGAGAAAGAGACGTTAGGTCACTTACCCAGGTCATACAGTTACTGTGTGATACACTCATGTGGCACTCCATTTTTTAACAATGCTCCTAGGGAATTGACCTAGGAGCATAGGAACCACGAGGGTCAAGTAGGAAGAAAGTTGACCTCATGGTTCACCCAATTCAAACCCTTCCCCAGAGAGTTCAAAAGTAAACGCAAGGGTGATCAAAAAAGAGAAGACAAAGGGAAGAAACTTTTTTTTTTCTTTAAGGCAGATTTAAGACCCTTGGGGGGAAAACACTGAGTTCTGAAAGGAATAAGGGAAAGCTCTGTGTCAACCACTTTCCCTCATGATAATCTCTCAGCCTGTAAATAAATTGTATGTGTTCCACAGCTTTAATCCATCTCTCCTGGACTATTTGCTTAGCCCTCCCTAGCTGCAGGCAGCATGATGTGGCCATTGGAAAGCTGGACTCTGAAGTGAGACTATTAGGGTTCAAATCTCTTTCACTACTTGTTAGCTGTGTGGTCTTAGGCAAGTCACTTAAGGTCTCTGAGGCCTCAGTTCTCGTTATTGGAGAGAGAGAGAGAGAGAGAGAGAGAGAGCGAGAGAGCACAATAATAACTTCTGATGAAGTTGTTGTGAATATTAACTGAGTCAATCTATGTAGAGTGCTCAAAATAGCACCTGGAACCCAGTGAGCCTCACAAAAGGATTAACGTTGCCCGCATGTAAACAAGGCCTACAAAAGCAAAGACCTTGTGTGTTTTCCGATGTTTGTCTCTAATGCCTGGAAGTGCCTAATGGGCAGGTAATAGACACTCACCAATATTTGTCATATGAATGAATGCCTGCAAATATGGTGGACCCTGAGCAATCTGTGATGAAGAGGAAATACCGGGTTTCAGCTAGAGGTTTTGTTTGCTGCTTGATTGAAGCCATGAGCCCACACTGGTGGGGCGATAAAGAGAAGGGATGAGACAGGGTAGGGGTGTCAGAGCTTTTCCAGGTTTCCTGAGTGGCAGGAAAGCTCTAGGTTGTGGTTGTTTTCCCCTCGCACTTACCTGGTTCACCTCTGGATCTGAGGGTGGAATCATTTCCTGGGGCCTCTGGGTTTTGTCACTATGGAAATCACCCATTAACATCAAGATATTTGTATGGTGCTCTGTTGTGTTTAGAGTGTCTGTTTGTCAGTGCTCTCTGGGATTGGCTTAATAATTTGTGTTGTCATCAAAATTCCTAAAGCAGTTGCCCAAATTTATTTCCAGGCTCAGGCTGCATGAAGAAAAGGTTATTAAAGATAGGCGACATCATCTCAAAACCTACCCAAACTGTTTTGTCGCAAAAGAACTGATCGACTGGCTGATTGAGCACAAAGAGGCGTCTGACAGAGAGACGGCAATTAAACTCATGCAGAAGTTAGCGGACCGGGGCATCATTCATCATGGTGAGTGAGGTGGCGACGGCCAAGGTAACTTGAGAGGAGATGGAGGACCGCGTCTTCTATTCCAGATACAAACCTGCCCACTTACAGAATAAAACATTTTACTTTGTCTCCTCTATGTACCGCTCCGCAGTTACATTCCCTCCCTCTCTCCAAGAGGCATTTGGCTTCATTTCCATGAACTTGCTTATACTTTTCTGTATGTGCATCTCTTAGCAACATATATTATTTTGCGTTTTCAATAGTTATAGAGATATATGTTTATTCTTTTGTACATGTAGTTTGGGAGAGTCATCACGATGATAGTGGACCTCCTGTTTGCTTGTGCTCACTGCTGCATGTGCCGTGTGTAATTTCCCCATCATACACTTATCCGTTCTGCTCCTGATGGGCATGTAGGTTGTTTGCAAGTTTTTGCTGTCACTCTTCAGGGGTCCGATGAACATTCAGAACCATGTCTCCTTGAAATCCCTAACCCTGGCCAAGAACTTCCACATGCTGTTAGTCTCCTGGGCTGCAGTGCCTTTTCTCTTCATTTTGCCCATTTGCTACTCATTCTTCAGGTCTCCACCTATATGCAAACTCTTCAGAGAAGTGTCCATTCCCCAAAGCGAGGTTCCTGGGGTACCAGGTACTCCTCCTTTGGGCTCCCACTGCAGTATCACCTCATCTCTTTCATAGCCTTAGCACACCACATTTTAATTACTTGTTGCCATTTCTCTTTATCTCACTTGATTTTCCATTCTTTGAGACTAATGCCTGCCCTGGTATCATGCTCAAGAAAAGTGTGTGGATTGAGTGATTAATTGAATTTCAAGACATTTTTTATAGATGATGATGATGGTGATACCTAATAATATGAGCACTTATTCTGTTCCAGGTACTGTGCTAAATACTATATATGTATTAAATCATATAGTTGTGTGCTTGAAAAACTAGGGAGAAAAGCAAATCTTTTTAATTCATTTATTAATTTTTTATGTTTAATTAAAGTTTATTGGGGGGACAATTGTTAGCAAAGTTACACATGTTCCAGGTGTACAATTCTGTAATACATCATCTATATATCACATTGTGTGTTCACCACCCAGAGTCAGTTCTCCTTCCATCACCATATATTTGACCCTGTTTACCCTCATCTGCCACCCCCCTCCCCCTTACCCTGTGGAAACCACTAAACTCTTGTCTGTGTCTATGAGTTTTGTTTCTTCATTTGGAGAAAAACAAATCTTAATTAGCAAATGAGTTTGATTAATTAAATAAGAATTATTTTGTTTCTTATTTGCCTCTCTCTGTATATTGCGTTTCAGTGTGTGATGAGCACAAGGAATTCAAGGACGTCAAACTCTTCTACCGCTTTAGAAAGGATGACGGCACCTTCCCATTGGACAATGAGGTGAAAGCCTTCATGAGAGGCCAGAGGCTATATGAGAAGTATGTTGCCCATGAAATTCCCCCAGTGTAATCTGAACTTGTAGAGAGAAACAGGGCTATTTTAGTCTTTTATCATTTTGACTTCAGCCTGGCTTTTCCACGTGGGATGGTTACATAACTGTTCCTTTAATAATGAGAAAACTTCATCACTCCTTTGCTTCTCTCATTGCCAGAAATTAAGTCGATGTCTTAAGATTCTTAATAAAGAATTTATTTAAATAGTATTTTCTATATTTAAGCCAATTTCCCAAAACCCCAGAAGTAAAAAGAAAAGCTTGGCGCTTGATGTTTGCCATCAAATGAGGCAGCTGCTCCTTTTCTCTTTTAAATACTGTTGTGCAATGTGGAGCTGTAGTCGCGGCAACAGCTAGAGATATGGTGTCAAGTACAGGGGGAGTTCAAGTTCACATCACAAGACGAGTAGTTAGAGAACTTCAGAGAGTAGGATGGTTTAAGAGGAAGGATCTCTGAGCTCTTTGGGAGAGAATTTGGTTGGTGGCTGTTGAATCTCCCCAGATCTGTCTCTGAGTTGATCAGCTGTGTCTGTGCTCCCTTGCCCATCCTACCTCCCTTGTTTGTTTTTACCCCCAGGCCAATTAGAGAAAGGCCCGTAGGAGCGATGGTACCCCTCCTTAATGGTGGCTGCCTTTATAAACAAAGCCATGTAAATCAATAAAAATAGGCATTTATCATATCAAAGAGCCTACTCTATGATGGATGGGTTGGTGCCTGGGAAAGAGGGGCCCAGGTGGTCAGATTAAGTAGCATGATAGTTAAGAGCCAGACAAGGTTTGAGTTCTAGCCCTGTCACCTTACCTTTGTGAACCCTAGTGTCCTCTTTTATGATATGGGAGTGGCAATAGCACCCACCTCCTAGGTGTTTAGTGCTGTTGTGGAAATGAAAAGAATAAACTGTGTCATGTACTCAGTATTTAGCTCAGTAACTCTGGTGTGTTGTCAGACCCCACTGATGAAAGCCCAATTTCAGATATTAACACGATATTGATGACCACCCTCCATTCTGTCTCTCCTGTGTTCTGCCTCTGTCCTGTTAATAGCTCTGGTCACCTCTGTTTCTGGAGCTGGTATTGTCCAGCCAACTTAAGGTCCAATATATACTAGTTCTCCTGTCATTTGCTTTCTATAGTGAAGTATAGAAAAAACCCTTATCTCCGTGACTCACATGAATTGGAATGGAAGGAATCCATCAACTCTTCCATTTGTGTAGTCATGTGTGTATACATGTTTGTTGCTGTTTTATTTTCTTAGTTCCTTTTTGAAAATTCTAGCTGACCTTAGGTATTTAGATTACCATGTTGGTCCCTTCAAACCATAAGAGTCTATGTTGTCAAAAACATGCATGTCATTTCCATCAAAGGAAGCTGGAGGGGTTCCTTTGTAACGCTCTTCTTTGCTACAGTTTATCTCTTGGGACCTGGGTCGCCACACTGTGGGGGCTGGGATTAGCAATAACTGAAAATGTCTGGTGGAGAGCTATTCTTGCTAATGGAATGGGTATAACGGCAAGACAAAATAAGAAAAGTTTCTAAAGAAAGTTGGCATACCTTCTGTAAAACAGACTTCCTCCAGCCCGACCTTCTGTTGCTCCTCCCCCTACATCCTGTGTGCCATTCACGCTGAACTGTTGTATGTGTCTCTGGACCATCCAAGGCTCCTCTCCACCTTCTGGCCATTGACTAATTCACGAAGTTTACAACAAACATGTACTGAGCCCTTACCACATGCCAAGCACAGCTGTAGGCCCTGGAAATGTGCCCTGAACCAAAGGTGGACAAAGCCAGTGCCCCCATCATTTTAATTAAAGAGATAGGCATTCAATGGATAACACATGAAGAGGAATGTGGTAGAATGCAGGTGGTTTTCAGTGCTCAGAAGAAAAATAGACTTACTGAAGGTAGTGAGGTATTTTAGATGGGGCGGGGGGAGTGGCAGTAAAGGTGTCCCTGAAGAGTGATATTTGAATAAAATGAGCCTTGAGGATATCTGGTGACAGAGCCCCAGAAGGAGGGCACAGCAAGGATAAAGACTTGGAAGCAGGAATGTGCTTGGCATATTTTGTGCCAGTAAACAGGCCAGAGTGCCCAGAGGGCAGGAAGTAAGGGGAGAATAGTAGAAGATGAGTTGGGGCCAGATCATATAAGACCCTTAAGGCCAGGGCGGCTGGTTAACTCAGTTGGTTAGAGCGCAGTGCTCGTAACACCAAGGTTACCGGTTCAATCCCCGCATGGGCCACTGAGCTGCTCCCTCTACAACTAGATTGAAACAACTACTTGACTTGGAGCTGATGAGTCCTGGAAAAACACACTGTTCCCCAATAAAAAACTAAACCAAACCAAAACAAAACCCTTAAGGCCATGATAGGCGTTGAGAATTTTGAGTATCATGGGAAGCCCTTGGAGAGCAGGGAGTAGACAAGCGGCCTTCTGAGGTGCTTTTTGCACTGGCTGTTCCCTCTGCCTAGAAGACGCTTCATGCTACGCTCACCCCTTTCCCTAGTTCACTCTGACTCTTGCTGGCTTCATGTTCAATATGACCTTTTCTGGGAATCCTTCCATATCCCCTTAGGACTGAATCAGGTGCCGCAACTGTGCGTTTCCCCATCAAAGAGCTGTATTAAAATTCCGTCTTTGTTCTCTGCATTAGATTATGAAACTTAAGGGTGGGGACTGCTTTATCCTTTGTACTTCTGGTGGTTTAGTAGGTGCCCGGCCAATGGGAGATGGTTCAATATTTGCTGAAAAGTATGAATGAACTCTTTGATCCCTGGACGAGTTGATGCATATTGCTGTACTTTTTCTGTGTGCTGTTGGCTTTCCAGTCATTAGGGTTCAGTGTCTCCATTTCCAAGTAAATGTATTTCTTCAAACTGCTTGTGAAATTAGCACTAGGAAAAGGCATTTAATTAGTGCTTAACCTTGCATGAACTAGCTGCTGCCTCACAACTCTTGGCCCCTACTTTTGGTTGCTGGAACGTGTGAGGCACAGACTTGGGGGCCTTTGGAACTGATGGTTCAGTTTACCTATTTGATCAGTTTTATTTAGTGTAATTATTTTTATGCCATACCCATAATTATTTTTTATGCATTTTCCTTGTTTCCCTGGCCATCTTTTCCATGAATCTCAACAGGGACTATTAATTTGCAAGTTTTGGAGACTTTTTAAAAATAACATTAAGAAATGCATAGTTGGTTTGGTCATAGCTCATCTTTTCAAGTATTTTATTTAGTTTAGAATTGAAGATTTTTCCCTGTATTATTTAACCAGAAGTTTTGTTTAGGATATGTCTAACATTTGTGAAAAGTCTTGTAAAATATCTGTTCCTTTTGTTGTTTTTCTTTTCAGAAAATAACAACTGATAATAGTTGCTGGTTGCTAACTGTGTGTGTGACATCCTGACTAACCCATTTTTTTTCATCATAATGCCCTTTAGTTAGATACTATCCATTTTATAAATGAGAAATATGTGGCAGGGAGAAGTTAAATCTTTTACCCAAGGTCAACTCACAAGTGAAAAACAGCTAGGATTTGAACCCTAGAGCCCAGAGTCCAAACTTAGTGCTACCGGGCTATTAATAAATCTTTTTTTGTTTCCTTTAGAGATTGGAGTTCAAATGAATGAAAGCAATATTTACTTCAAAATGTAGTTTATCTTAAAAAAATGTAGTTTATCTTAACATGTAACGTTGAGTTTGTAAATATCTGGATGTGGCATTTTCTGTAAAAAAATTTACTGAGAATATTCCAGAATGCTGAAATAGACATTGGCAAAAGAGAGTAAAAGGATATCCTTTCATGGCAAATCTAGGTGGTGTTCTATAAATGTGATAAACGTAGCACTGCCTTTTATTTGTAAACGAAGCTCCTCAAAGCTTCCATTAGATATTTTATCTTAACTTCCTCAATAAGAGTAATAATAGAGTAGTAAATAATAATAATATAATTAATATAATAATTTAGTAAATCATGATATAAAATGGATGAGCATTATGGAATGGCCCCAGAAGGAGGACCATCTGGGACCCAAAGCAGTCAAGTCATTTCTGGGTGACAGTGCTGTTTTTTAAGAGGAACGGGGTCTCGCCTGAACCCAGGGTGGCAGGTGTGCTGGCTGCTGTTCTCTCCGCAACCCCGCACCAGCTTGGAGGGACTGGCTGTGTTGTCAGTGTTTCCTTTTTTGCTCTCCTCTAGTTGGTTTGTTCTGTGTTATTAATGGGGCTTTGTGAAACTTGGTGGTTTCTGGTTGGGGTTTTGCGGAGCCATGCTTTCTCACCCGTCATGGTGGGTGTTTCTCAGTCTGCTATTTTTCTAGGACAAACCTGGGTCTCAAAGCTAAATTCAGTGACCCTGCTACCTGTTGAGTGCCTTTCTCACCCCAGTGGCCTTAACTCAGAGGTACTTGAGTGAATGCTACTTAAGGGTCAGGAGCTGGCCCTGTCAAGTCGTCCCAATGTGAGGAGAGGTACAGGTGAGCTGGTGACATGAACCTTCCCATGTTGTCAGTGACAGCAGGTGTGGGCTTTGGAGCCACACAGCCCTGGTCTCTAGTCGCAGCCTCTGTGACCTTGAGTAGCCTGTTGAACCTCTGATCTGTGGTCTTAAATGGAGACAAGGCTGGGACCCACTTGGAAAGACTGTTGGAAGGATTAAATAAAATGCAGTCTGTCCAGCGCTAAGCATAGTGCTTGGCCCAGAGTGAGAGCCCAAGAAATGTTAGCTGCTGCTATTAGAATAGTAGATAACAATATAAATACATGATACCTATTATTCTTATTATATTCTTTTAACATTTAGCCTAGCATAGTGGTTAATTGCCTAGGAGCCAGGCTACCTGGATGTGAACCCTGGCTCTGGTCCTTGGGGCACTTGGCCTCACCTCTCTGGGCCTCCATTTGCCCATCAGGTAAATGGAGACATTGACTGTATCGACCTCATGGACTTCTTGTGGGGGTTTGAATGAACTAATACGTCTAAGCACCCAG